AATTTTTTATTCTTTTTTCTTGTATTACGAGGAGTTAGGTTTATAGGTTTATGTTTTCCTGACTAGGTGTAATTTATTTTTTGTTATTAATAAAGTTTCCCTCGTACTGTCGAGGTTTTTTTGGAAAAAAAAAAAGAAAAAAGAAAAAAGAAGCGATAAACTACTATGGAACATTTTCAACCAGGGATAAACCTCTCAACATAGAGCAGGAACTCCAACATAGGTTTGAAATTTGATGAATACTTTCCACAACTTTGTTTTTTAATTTTAATTTTTAATTTTTTCAGAGTGTTCGTCCTGTAATGTTTGGCAAAGCTAGAATGTCATTGTTCAAGCATAATTCGATGCAAATAAGTTTGCTTGGCAAGCATTGGCCAACAAATACGATAACACTTTCACATAACATCAGTACTATTACGTACTATACCACATATTAACAATAAGCTTCTATTCACATATACCATTTGCTCGAAGTTAGTTTCTGAGCCGACACATATGTGCCACAGCATCACAGATGTTCAATCTTTCTCTAGGCAACTCCGCTGAGCAAGCAATACCAATTTCTAAAACAGAGATTAAACTTTCTATGATTAGGACGCGATTCCTTGCCCTCCCCGCATTAGGATGATTGCTCTCTTGAACAAGAACGGGATCCAAAACCTCTTCCACTTGCTCAGGCAGAGCTGCCTTCACAAAGCTATAGAGGTTTGAAGTTCCCTGAAACATGTCATTGATCGGTCTTTTTCCTGTAAATATTTCCAATAGGAGGATGCCAAAGCTGTACACATCACCTTGTGTCCACACTTCATGTCCCATGCCATATTCTGCATTCCACAATTCAGAACATTAGATTCTAATTTTCTAGTGAAGTGCCTAAAAGCTCATTTCATGTTTGTAAAATTTAAAATAAATACTTCCTAATTTTAAAAGACTAGCTAGGAAAAAATAAACTACCAAGTGTATTTACCTGGAAGAGCATAACCTGTTGGGGAAAAACTTAGAGTACACAACTCTAACACAAGTGTTGGAGAGACAATACAAGTAAACAAATTACTTGTATTACACAAACAAAATATTACAACACAAACTATCAAAGACACTCTTGAGAAGCTATGACACTCACTCATTTTCTAGAGACAAACTCTAGAGCACTCACACTCTTACAAGACTATTCTTTCTTCTCACTTGCTTACAAGCTTACTTGGTTAGTTTCTTACCAACACACATGCATACATATTTATAGGCATGTTTGCCGACATATGGCCTTACTAGAATTTTCTAGTGCATGATCATGCACACACTACACCAACCTAGGCTTTGCATATCAGCCTTGCCGACTTAAATGATGCTAGAATTTTCTAGCATATTATTACACACACACACACACACACACACACATTTGTTATAATAGCTAAACAATTCTAGCTTGTTCCCACCGACACACTTATGCTAGAAGATTCTAGCATATGAATGCTTTCTCCTTTGTTTCTTCATCATGGGCCAATCTTTATTATTTGGGCTGGTGTTGTACTTTTAACACTCCCCCTCAACACCAGCTCATTCTTTCCTCTATGCCGAGTTGACGATGAAACTTTTCAAACTTGCCGCTACTCAAACCTTTAGTGAACAAGTCCGCAACTTGTTCATCTGTGTTGATTTGTCTCATCTCAATCTCTTCTTGCAAGACCTTTTATCTAATGAAATGATAGTGTACCTCCACATGTTTAGTTCTTGCATGAAAGACTGGATTTTCCGCCAAGCGAATTGCCGATTGGTTATCACAGTACAATGGTACTGGATAATCTACTGGTTGATGTAGAGCGCTCATCAACTGTACCAGCCATGCATTCTCTTGAGCTGTCATTGCTGCTGCTCTATACTTTGCTTCTATGGTTGACAAATACACTGTTGGTTGTCTATTGCTGCACCACGAAACTACTCCAGAACCAATTCTGAAGACATACCTAGTGGTCGATCTCCTGGTGTCGTGATCTCCTGTAAAATCTGCATCACAATAGCCAACCAACTTACCATCTTCTCCTTTCTTGTACAAAAGACCATAGTCAATTGTACTATTTACATATCTCAATATTCGTCAAACTGCTTCTAGATGAGGCTTCTTTGGATTTTGCATGTATCGACTCATCACACCAACTGCATAAGAAATGTCAGGTCGAGTCAGAGTCAGATAAATCAGACTACCTACCAATTGTCGATACATTGTTGCATCTTCCAAGTTTCTGCCTTCATGTGCACACATCTTGGCATTAGGTTCCACCGGTGTTGAGATTGGCTTGCATTCAAGCATCCCAAACTTCTGCAACAAGTCTTTTGCATACTTTTGTTGACACATAAATATTCCTTCTTGTGTGCGATCAACCTCTAATCCAAGAAAGTGCTTGAGTTGTCCAAGCTCTTTCATCTTGAACCGAACTGACAAATTTTCCTTTGTTCGAAAAATTTCAACCTCATCATCGCCAGTGATGATTAGGTCATCCACGTACACCAGCACGAAAGCTAACTTTCCTCCATTAGCTTTAACAAATAAGCTGGAATCTGCATGCGCCACTGAGTAACCACTTTGCGTTAGAAATTCTGCAATCTTATCGTACCACACCCTTGGTGCTTGTTTCAGACTGTAGAGTGATTTCCTCAACTTGCACACGTACTCGAAATGAACTTTGCTTTCAAAGCCCATTGGCTGCATCATGTAGATCTCCCGATCTAACTCTCCATGCAAGAAAGCATTCTTCACATCCATCTGGTATAGATTCCAATTTTTGTTAGCTACAAGTGCAAGTAGTACTCGTACGGTCGTAAGCTTTGCTACTGGACTAAACGTTTCATCATAGTCTAGTCCATACTGCTGAGAGAAACCTCGAGCCACCAATCGAGCCTTGTACCTTTCAACTGAACCATCAGGACGACACTTTATCTTGTACGCCCATTTGCTGGATATGGGTTTCACATCCCTTGGCTTTGGCACCAAATCCAAAGTCTGATTCTGCTTAAGTGCAATGATTTCTTCTTCCATAGCTCTTACCCATTTAGAACTCTGTGATGCTTTTTCAAACACCTCAGGTTTTTTTGGTGCTCCATCAGTTATGGCAGCATTGGCATATTTAGGATTTGGCTTTCGTACTCTTGTTGACCTTCTTAGTTGTGATTGTGGAGTTGATACTTCCACTCCACTAGGTATAACTTCTTGTGGTTGTTGGTACACACCTGTTTGCCAAGGACTCTTAGGTACTTCTTGCTCGACATCATCTCCAGCAAGCAAATCTTCAGGCTTATCTGGACTTGATTGGATTTGGGCAGCTTGGTCTCCCAGTTTCCCTTGCAACGTATCTTCAAACTCTTTTGGGTCGGGCAACGCCTCATTTTCTGAGCACCAACAAGATAATGCTTCTGCATCCCATTCTTCGTCCACAGCTAGAGACGCAACGACATCCCAATCATCTTCAACTTTCTTCTCTGAGTTGGTGACGTTACTTTCTGTAGGCCTTTTGAACCAGCAATCCTTCGCCATGTGGCCATTCTTTCCACAATTGTAACACTTGCCCTCAAATCTTTTATTATTCTGGGACTGACCACAGTTGCCGTGATACTTCGGAGCTCCCCCTGGCCGAGAACTCCCTCCTCCTTGATGACCTTTTTCCTTGTCACCATTTCTTTTAGATCCACCACCAACACGCTACTTAAAACTGCCTTTACTTTTGGTGTAGAGCGCTTCCTCCTCACCTTTTAACGAGACCCCTCCCATTTGCTTTGCCAAAGCTTCTTGATCGGCAAGCAAATTCTCGAACTCAACAAGTGATGGTTGGGTCGGCCATCCTTGTACAGCGGCAACGAAGCCTCGATATTCGGGTCTCAATCCATGAATAATTATTCTTTTTATCCTGGATTCTACAATGGCAGCACTAGGATCTACTTCAGAAATTTCACGGCAAATAGACTTTACCTTGTGGAAATACTGCGCAATTGTCATGTCCCTTTGGGCCACTGATAACAACTCGTTCTCGAGAAGCTGCAGTCTTGTATCGTTCCTCTTTGAAAAGAGTGTGGCGAAGGTGTCTCATGCTTCTTTTGGTGTCTTGGCCTTCCGTATGTGCTCTGACATGTCATCTTCAACTGTAGTTTTTAAGGCAAACATGGCCTTACCTGCCTTGATCTTCCACTTCCTCAAAGCGCCACTGGTGTCTTCTTCTGGCTGCGTAACTTCACTACCGCCGACGACATCCCAAAGATCTTGGCCTTGTAGGTAAGACTCCATACACGTCGCCCATGTGTTGTAATTTTTGTTGTTCAACTTTTTTTATTCCTCTAACAACTTGAAGGTCTCCCATCATGTCGGTAGAGCTTCGATAAGTCGAACAAGATTAACCAATAATCTTGCGAGGTACTAAACTTCTCACGATTCTCGGAAGCTTCAATAGAAACGGTCCTTGATCATACCGCTCTGATACCAATTGTTGGGGAAAAACTTAGAGTACACAACTCCAACACAAGTGTTGGAGAGACAATACAAGTAAACAAATTACTTGTATTACACAAACAAAATATTACAACACAAACTATCAAAGACACTCTTGAGAAGCTGTGACCCTTCACTCACTTTCTAGAGACAAACTCTAGAGCACTCACACTCTTACAAGACTATTCTTTCTTCTCACTTGCTTACAAGCTTACTTGGTTAGTTTCTTACCAACACAGATGCATACATATTTATAGGCATGTTTGCCGACATATGGCCTTACTAGAATTTTCTAGTGCATGATCATGCACACACTACACCAACCTAGGCTTTGCATATCAGCCTTGCCGACTTAAATGATGCTAGAATTTTCTAGCATATTATTACACACACACACACACACACACACATTTGTTATAATAGCTAGACAATTCTAGCTTGTTCCCACCGACACACTTATGCTAGAAGATTCTAGCATATGAATGCTTTCTCCTTTGTTTCTTCATCATGGGCCAATCTTTATTATTTAGGCTGGTGTTGTACTTTTAACATAACCAATAGTTCCCCTTATCCCTAAAGAACTTGATTGATTTCCCGAAGAATTTTCAGCAGCTTTTGGTAGGAACGTCACCAACCCGAAGTCACCTACATGTGCAACCATGTCCTCATTGAGAAGAATATTGCTGGGTTTGAGGTTGCAATGAACTATTGGCGTCTCACAATGATGATGGAGATAATCCAATGCCATAGCAACATCAATAACAATGTTCAACCTCTGAGAAATTGTTAAGATCCTTGGCCTCTCATTTGTCTCACCAATTGTATGAATTGGATACAGCCATTCCTCCAAGCTCCTGTTAACCATGAACTCATATATTAAGGCCTTGAAGTCATGACTGCGATAATCAAAACCATTATATGCCGAAAGTACCTTGACAAGATTACGGTGTCTAATATTTTTGAAAGCCTCGCACTCAGAGATAAAACTTTTGTAAGCTCCGCAATGAACGAGGTTGAGTACCTTGATGGCAACTGGAGTTTCACCTTGCTTAAGTAGTCCTTTATAAACGGACCTAAAACTGCCCATACCGACCAATTTGGTTGAGGAGAATCCATTTGTTGCCTTTAGAAGACTTTGGTAAGACAACTGGGGAAATTTGTCCGAATCACTTGCAGCTTGACCCTTTTTGTCCCTCCGTGAGCAATAAAGGTACAAAAAGGTTAGTGCAAAAAAGACTCGAAGAATCCCACAAACGAGGGAGAGAACCAATTTCATGGTTAAGTTCAATCCTTCCTTTTTGGCATGCTGGAGTTTGCACTTCGGCAAATGAAACTCAGGTATGCCCCCACAAAGCTTGCTATTTCCTTCAACTGATGTCGCCGTTGCATTCTTAAACGCTCCTTTCATCGGCAACATGCCCTCAAAATTGTTATAAGATAGATTGAGAGATTCCAAAAATACAAAACGTTCTAAGAATTCTGGAATTTTGCCTGACAAGTTGTTGTGAGAGAACTCAATATCGTACTCGATGAGGGATCAGCCACCCCAATCGCTATCGTACTCGATGAGGAATGTCCTGACAAAAAAATATATCTTCTTCTCTTAATTTTATGAATAAATTCAATATAAAGCTAATTTTGTGAACTAATATTAGGAATGTTCACTTTTTTGAAATTATTGTATTCATTCTTTAACTTAAAACAACTGAAAAAAGAGAGATATTAGTTTTGTATGAAAATTTTCTCTTTGATTATAAACCGTATGACACAACGACTAACTTGATAAACATGTTGTTCCTGTTGAGAAATTTTTATGGGTACTAAAAATACAAGTTAGGTGGCGTATTATACTACGTGTTACAATAAAGGTGGACGACAAGGTTGATATATCTTACTTCTTATGTATATTGATAAAAAAAACAAAAAAACAAATTCACGAGTTATAAGTTGAGTGAAATAATAACACTATAAGATTGTGTTCAAATACATCAAAAAGTTGCTCGTTCCTGTTCATATCGATAGTATGCCAATAAAACAATAGTTAGCTTTGGTATTGTACAATGACAATTCCTAATTTTGGTGCATTATTGTGTCATTTGTTTATGCCAACAAATAATGTTCGTCCTCACTCCTCTAGTTCCAGATTGGCTGCGTGCTTGCGTCTTGTGAATGGATTGAGGATATACACAAAAGAATAGGTAATGGGAACTTAGGTATGGGCACGACTGAGATCAAACAACCACTGTGGCAGAGGCGGCTTTGGGGGACCAAAAGGTGCAATTGTACATGGTCCCAAATTTATTTGAAAGGACTTTAAAATAATATTTATATTAAATTTTTTTATTAGTACTATAAAACCTCATTGTGTACTCCTTATAATATACCGCCGAGATTCTCTAGAAAAAAAAAAAAGGAAACAAAGAGAGTCACAAGATTATAACGAGTCGTATTACTCACGAAAGTTGTATCGTCTAAAGGGGTAAGATGAAGCTAAGGGTCCTGAGGTTAGCGTTCAAAACTATGTATGTACTTTTTTGAGATAGCATTTGGTCTTAGGATTGGTACTAATGAAGTGATCAGAGCCACTTCCTGTTCTCTAGCCGCGTCTAACCACTATGAGTCATTAGAAAAAGATCCAACTGTTTTTTTTTTAATAAAAAGGGACCAGCTGGTGACTTTGCCACGACAGTCCATTCTTCCGGGGGCAGGGAAGACTCACATAGGCATTTCAGCCTCCCCTGGCCACCATCGTGCGATTCACTAGCGCTAGGAATCGAACCCAGGATATGTCGTGTGGAATACAGGTCTAAAATTCATCCCCAACCACTAGGCCACCCCTTGGTGGTTGAAAAAGATCCAATTGAACCACCTGAAATTTAATTCTTTCTGTTTCTTCCAGCAACTCGTATAGGGAAAGAATGACACATAAACTGCTATCAGAGTCTGAAATACTAGTAAATAATAACATAACCAACTTCCGTAAATAGCCAAACAAGGCATGCCCAAGTCGCCGATGCCTTAACTAAATCTTCTTAATCTTGTCACCATTCCCACTACATACCTGATTTACTCTGCTAGGAGCCTAGGAGCCACATCGTCGACATAATTCAACCCCTTTCTCTTAGTACCATGACGAATTACAACCCTTGTTTGGATATCCGGAAGTAAGCAAAAAAATAGAAACATTAGTACTATATAACCCAATTGATCGATAATTTGACTGACCGATAAAAGATGATTTGATAATTCCAAAAGAAGCAAGGTATTGTGTAAGGATAAAGATGAGGTGAGTGCAATTGGACCATCCTCTGATCTGAGATAATATTTCCATTGGCAGTGACAACACTCTCTGTTGGAGGATGAATCATGGATGAAAGAGAGACTCATCATGTGGCATGTGGTCACGATCTCTAGAAGCAATTTAGACATTTCTTGAATTTCCCGAATTATCCCGATCAACAGAGAGAGATACTTGATCAAAAAAAGACACTATAGTCTTCTCTCCCATGGTTGCACTAGGCTTAGGTTTAAGATTTTCAATGTCGATTGCCAAGAACAAGCCGCACGACAAGAATTTGGATTATTGTGCTGCTCAAAAAACACGAAGAGGCACGGGGTAAATTTTGGTTCTGTGTAGGATTAATGATTGCCCAAAACACAAGACAATCAACAAAGTGTAGGGCACTGACATCCAAGGAAGCTACATGACATGAATAGTATTTTAGGTTTAGGTTTTTTTTTTTTTTTTTTTTTTTCCTCCAGAAAAGAGACAAGCCGAGACCCTTTTCTTTTTATTTTAATTTTAATTTTTTTATTTTTATATAGAAAACTTTGATTGTACGAGTGAAATTTTATTGATAATAAAAAAAGTTCCACCTAGTCAAGAGAGATGTAAACCTAACCCTTCATAATACAAGAAGAAGAAAAAAAAGGATAGAAAACACATGAAAAGGAAGGGGGACATAATATTTTACCCTTCTAGAAACGAAAACAATAATGATACAAGGAAAAGAGGTGGGGGGAGGGGGGGACCTGAAACCTAGCCCCTCTATAGCCAAACCTAAAAGTCTAAACCTGTAAAACAAATTAAGTAAGATCACAGGGTTAAGAAAATAAAATAAGAAAGTGAGACAAACCTGTATGTCGAGATGCACATTCATTTGAGAAGCGGAAGCTTGTAAAGCCAGCATAGTCTGAAAACAAAGCAGTACAAGCCACCAGCATAGGGGAATCATGTCATACCAAAGTTGGAGAAGACGAACCTATATTAGCAAAATTGTATGCAACAACATTCCCTTCGAGATATATGTGAGAGGTGTAGAAAGTCATCTTTCAAATGCGATCTAAAGATATAGACCATTGCATACGAAGAAGCCAAGGAGGGTCAAAAGCAGTCGATTGGAAAGCAAAAATAACACTAGAACAGTCAATATCCAACCAAAGACAATGTCATTCCCGCTAATATGCAAACTCTACACCAATAATAATTTTTGATAATTCTGCATAGAAAGAGTTACAATGACCAATTTGATACCAAGATAAAAGTGTAAAACTTTTTTTCTTTTTTGACGGTACGAGGGAAATTTTATTGATAACGAAAAAAGAAGTTACACTCTATCATTTTCCGAAGTTAAAGTTGGAGAAGACAAGCCCATGTTAGCAAAATTGTCCGCAACAAAATTTCCTTCGTGATATATGTGAGATGTGTAGTAAGTCATTTTCCAAAAATGAAACACTTCCGGTATTATCCACTTTTAACGAAAAACCACATTTTTACCTTTTCCTGGTACTATTCACTATACCTTTATTTGTCATTTTTCATTAAAACTAAAATATTTTTAGACTTTTCGTTAGTTTTCATTTTTTTGAATGCGGTCCAAACAAATACATCATTGCTTACGAAAAGGCCAATAAGGATCAAAATCAGACGACTAAAAAGTGTAAAACTTGATGAGAGTTTTTGGGTTTGTATTTTTGTGTTGTATTCTTCTGTCAGGGAGAAAATAAGTATACAAGATTAACGATATCTAGGGACATGAAATCCCCAATTACAAAGCTATAATAAATAGGGAAGTTGACTCACGCAGAACAACTTGCTGGATGGTGGATCCACACCTAAGACTATCGTAATCATTGACGCATGGTTGAATTGCCCAACACTAACAGAACTATTGAAAGTGAACGTTGGCAAAAGACTTGGAGTATGTGTCAGTTGACATGACTGTCAGCAAAGGTTTCCAAGAGTCGGAGCAATAGTGCATACTCTTTCACACAAACATAGCCCTCTATATTTGGTCACGCCAACCTCATCCATATGTATATTGTAGTGTACACAAAATATGGACTGGTACATTACGTGTTATAATATAAATAGAAAAATACTTAAAAAATATAACTTTTTTCCTCTTCTATTATGACATATAATGTACCGACTTGTGTTATGGGTACATGGAAAAATCTCTCTTCTAAGGATTGTCAAATTTTATTGCCAATAGATGGTGGCAAAGAGGCACTGTTATAAATCGTGTTCGATTCCCCATTTAAAGTAGTGGTGAAAATAGACTGTTGATTTGAATTCATGCTTTGAACGTGTAATCAAGACTTATACAACTAATTAATTTGCAAAGTAGGCCAGTAATACTTGACCTATGAGAAGCTATATCAAATCATCATGTAAAACCCAAGAAATTAAATGAAATCATCATTTTCAGATGAACTAGTTTGGCTAAAATGCATCTGTTTTCAGCTTTCAACTTGCTTTTTGGAATATATATAGCACTGGCCTACAACTACTTTAGCTAGTGTCGGAAAATTTCTTCTGCATAATTTAGTCCAGTCAATTATTGATGGTCTCTCAGTGTTGGAAAATGGATGCATAGATGGGGGAAGTGATCCTCATCGGATCTCTCCCACCAAACTTAGTGATCCGTACCCTTGAAATTTGATTTAACGGCTAAAGTTATTATAACTTTTAAATGAGACCCTTGTTTTTAGCTGTTTGATCAAATTTCAAGGACCTGGATCATTGGATTTGGTGGGAGAGATCCGGACCCATAAATAGCTTTCCATTGCCAATTATTACAGGCCTACCAAATTGCTTACTCAGAAGTCCTACTGGACTTGGCATTTTGTGTATCCAATATCTGTTATTTTCCAACACTAATGATGAGTTTAAATATACGAAGAAATAGCACTTAAAGTAGTCCATAATGATTTTTTTTTCTTTTTTTTTTTAAGTGCAAGTAACAACTTTGGAATTTCTTTCAACTCACTCAATCAATGGTTCGAGATTACTCATTTCCTGACTGAAAGCCTTCGGTAAAATCTCATTATAGACTTTGCGTAGGTCAACTGTCAAGTATTGATCGTCTGCCATTGTTGCAAAATACTTCACACAGAGCAAGTCGC